GACGAACGAACCACCACACACACACACACACCTAGCAGCACAGCTACACCCCGCGCGAACACAAACTGTGTGGTTGTTTCTGTAGTTCCCTCCACTGCCGTTTCCTGAATTATTACTATTATTTTTTTTCTCATCTGCGCCGCCCTCTTCTTCGGTGTGCGATGCGCAGCAGGGCGCACCTCACCACAAACCTGGTGGGGGGACTGGGGAACCAGCTGTTTCTCGTGGCGAATCTCTTGGCCACCGCGCGGCGTAACGGTGTGCCAGCTGTGCTGAAGCGGTTGCCATGGAGCAGCAGCAGCGAGCAGCCACGGCCTGTTTATTGGCACTCCATCTTTGAGGACCTCAGTGCCTACGGGGTCGGGTGCGACGTCCCTGCAGGCGTTCCTGAAGTAATTGTGCCTGAGCCGCGGCCGGTGGCACCGGTGAAGGTGGATGCCGCGGTGAACTGCGTGTATAACATGGTTGGCTTCTTTCAGTCCGAAGCCTTCTTCGCGGACCACCCTGTGGTGAGGGATGTCATTCCCTCTAGGCTGCGCAGCGCGGCGCGGCGGCACCTGCACGACAACTACGGCGAGCCCGGTAGCGTGCAACATGTCGGTCTTCACATTCGTCGCGGGGACTACCTGCGGATGCGTGACGTGTTTGAGATCCTGGAGGTCGACTACTACGACGCGGCGGTGCGGCAGTTGCTGGGGCATAGCCTGCAGCTGCAGGCGATGGCGGGAGGACGTGGAGTGCACCTCTTGGTGTTCTGCGAGGAGGCGCGCTACGGCGCCTCCGTCGTCGGCTACTTCCGCAGCAAGTACCCGGGCCTCGAGGCGTCGCTGGTGCGCGCCGCCGCAGAGCGCGTGCCCTTCGAGTGCGGGAGTCACGCACCGCGGGAGGTGCTGGAGCTGCTGATGCTCGCCGGCTGCGAGGACGTTGTCATGTCGAACTCGACGTGGTCGTGGTGGGCGGCGTATTTTAACGAATGCCCGCTGCGCCGCGTCGTGGCTCCCGCGCGGTGGTTTGTGCAGCACCCATACCCGCAGTCCAACCACCTCTACCGCCAAAACTGGCTCCTGTTGTGAAGCGGGCGGAAGGAACGAAGAAAAAAAAAAAACAGAACCACACGCGTCCAGCGGAAATAACAGTGAAAATGTGAAGCCGCACGGGAGGGACGCACGGCGTGCCCCGCCCCATCCCTCCGACATGTGTTTCACGCACTCTCCCTTTCCCTCTTTCTCTCTCGCTGGTCCGCCAGCAACGCGTGAGCAGCGATGAACTGCGTCTACCACAGCAAGGCAGCATGTGTGGAGGCCCTCCAGGCCGTCGAACGCCTGCGTCCGAGTTGGTGGACGCCGCCGTGTGGAGAGTTTCTGCGTCGCGCGGAGCGCACCCCAACCGTCTCTGCGCAATCAACTGAAAAGATACTTGTCGTCTTGGAAGGCCTCGACGGCGTTGGAAAGTCTGTCGTGGCGAATTCTCTGCTCGAAAAGCTTGGCGGGTCGGCGATGCTGCTGCGTACGCCGGGCCCTGCTTTCAGCAACATTCGTGAGCTCTTCCGCGCGCAGCAGGAGGAAACCGCGCGGGCCTTCTACTGCGCCGCAAATTACCTCGCCGCCTGGGACGCGCTCCACGCCACCCAGGAGCACAGGATTGTCTTGTTTGACCGCTGGTGGTGCTCCACATGCGCCATGGCGCTTGCAAACCGCTGCACTCTGGCGACGCTTCCCGCGGCAGGCGACGCGGTGTACCGGTGGCCACAGGACCTTCCCCGGTTCCAGCTGGGGGTGCTGCTGCACGTGGACGAGCGCATCCGTCAGGCGCGAATACGGCAACGGGCCCCGGAGGACGCGGAGGAGCGACGGCTCAGTGCGCAGCAGGAGATGCGTGCGGTCGCGATGGAGGCGTATCGTCGCTTTGGTTTGCTCACCGAAGTCCGAGTTGTGACGTACGGTGTGGCGGTGAACCGCATTTTGGCCCTCATGACGGAGAAGGGTCTGCCGCACAGTGCGACGCCCTTCACTGGGGAGGAGTTGGCCGGAATCCGCCCCTTCTAGACGTCCGGGCGGGCGACGCACATTCGTTCCCCGCACCGCCTCCGTGTTGTGTCGCACGGGCGCCGCAGTTGTTTCGCTCGCTCACTCACGCCTTCTGCCCCATTCACTCCATCCGACTCTCGGCGAACGTGTGCGGCGACACTTGCGCACGGATGGGTTTTGTGCGTTAGTTCAACACTCCTGTGTGTCGTCCCTCAACGCATACCTCCCACTCCCCCGTCGTGCAGGGGGCAAGAGGGAGTTGCCCCGTCCAAACGAAGAAGAAAGCGTGCGACTTCCATCTGTTGTTCTTGATATTTTTTTTCCATCCGAATGAACTGGTTTCCCAGCTTCTTTGAGGAAAACATGGACGGGAGGGAGGGGAGGGGGGGAGGGGGGGGGGGTCGGTCGGTC